GAAGCATCCCGATTTTCAACAAGGAATGGCTGAGTTACCTGTGGAAAATCCACACAAAGAAATTTCACAGAAGGCATAAAAAAGACAAATTAGAGCTATTATAGATCCACAGACCTGCAGAGCACTCCAGATTGCAGAGGGAGGGAAGCAGGCTGCAGGGAAAGGTACGCAATCCCTTTTGAAAGCAAAGGCCCAAGCCCCTCTGTAGTGTGTTGAGACCTGCCAGTCGGCACGCATGACTCTGGTTACCTGGACAGATGAGAAAAACAATTGTAGCAGATTAGGAAAATAGCCATTACTTATCTACTTATTGTTAACCTAAAGATAAAAAGGACTTTCAAAGTGAGAGGCAACAAGCGTTTATTTGAAATCAAGAATAGCTATTCAGCAATCATTAATTCAGGCAGAAGTCCAGTGTTCCGATGAGGAGACAAAGGCCAGGGTATTTATGAGGAGAAGTGGGACAATGACATCCATGGAAGGAAGGCATTGCTATTGTACAGATAACACAATGACGCTAATTCTAAATGTTTTTAATTCTCAGCCCAGTAATCATCAGTCCCATAGTCATAACTGCTTTGTTATCTTTGCAGACAGTTCTTTGGGACACAATTTTGCCCTATACCCAGTCCAGGGGTTATTTTGCTGTTTTAAAATTCCCAAGATTTGAAGTATAAGATGTGCAAGGCAGTTCCTCTGGGACGACAGCCCTGGTTGCACGTTAAAGTGGCTCCGTTTATGTCATTCTCTACATTATTGGAACTGTAGAAAGTCTATGAAATTGCTGCAAACATGCACAATATGTAACACATCCAGGAAGGAGGACTAGATGGCACGGATACATTTAAAAACACCTCGACTTGTTCAGAAGGTGGCAGTGCACGTAACCTGTCTTGGATTTGTTTCAGGGTACAGGTGGCCCTTTTACAATGCAGGTTTGAACTGTGCGCATCCACCTACACACAGATTTTGTTCGACTGGCCTTCGCAGCTCAAATCTGCATTTCTCAAGGGTGAGCTGGTGGTTAGGAATACGGGTATACAGAGGGCCAACTCTAGTTACACTCGGATTTCTGACTGTGCGGGCAATTGGTGCCACCTTACCACATTGTTCAAGGGTCAGCTGTGCTATTTTCAGACATACCAAAAAAAAAAAAAGAAAAAGAAAAAGATTATCATTCAATAGAAAGTTGCAAATGGTAGAAGTTAGCCCTATTTTAAAATTTTGAGCTTGGTTTGAGCCCGAGTGTGCTGTGGTCCACTGGTGCCCAGGTGCCCTCCAGGCCTTGGAGCCAAATCCTGTGTGTAGGCCTGGCACCCAGCAGGAGGTGCTGCCACCAGGCCTTTGATTCTGGCGGTGAGCAGGGAAGAGGCGGTGCCTGAGGGAAGGAGGCCCTCAGGTGGTAGGGCCAGACCCAATGCAGTGCTTCTGCCCAGGGGACAGTTTTCAGGGGGCGAGGCTCTGCCCATTTGCACCCAACCTTCGGGGGAGGGGGGGCCCAGTTTCCGCAGGTTGCTCTCCAGGGCGAGTCTGCTGCAGCCTAGATGGGGGTCTGACCGCAATTTCTCCAAGAGGATTGTGTGCTGAAAAACGAACAACTCAGCCATTTGTGCCCAACTCGGGCCTGGGGAGCCATGCAGGCAGGGCTAGCACAACGGAGCAGGTGTTTCTCTCCTGGACAAGGGAGAGGTGGAAAATCTTCCTTACCCGGGCAGGGCTGCTACATCGGGACCAATCCTGTTGTGATCACTCTGGTGCACGGCGTTGATTTTAGACCTTGTCACCCCAGGGATTTGCCGGCCCGACTGCTGTGCGGAGAAATGAAACCAGAGGAAGCAGGGTGCACACACATTTATTTACAAAAAGTTCAGGGTACATGACACAGGCTTTTTACATACAGTAGTTGAAACAGATTTTATGTACTTTTACTACCAGAAGGTAAAGAAAAAATTTAATAGTCATTTTTGCTATTTTTATACAAAGTGACATGTCATGCATTTTTTTAAGTTTTAAAATCTTTTTTCTAAGTGCAAATACTAGATTCCTCTCTCCAGTTTTAAGGCAAGTTGAACAGGACTGTCACTGGGCAGTCTCTTGCTCTGGGAGCAAGCACTGTGGCCTAGAGAGGGGAAGGTACCAGGCCACCTCCTGCTTTGTCCCCTAGACTCTGATCTCTGCAGGTTTCCTAACATTTGCATCCTGCAGCCACCTGCTGGCTTGTCAGAAGACTGGCCCCATCTCTCTGCAAAACCTGTCACTAGTACGGACTGAGCTGCTTCTCCAGGAGCCTGGGGTTCAGAGTCTGCCCCCGGGACACTGAGATGCCTAGAAGGTCATGCAGGGTCAGAACCCACAGCAGTGACCTCTCCTGAACAGCGACTATACTACACCCAGAGACCTACGAGCCCCCAGGTCTGGAATCAGGTGCCTGAGGTTCAGGAATGGCTCCCAAGCAGCCATGTGGGTCTACAACCAACCAAAACTTTGCTCAAAGGGCAAACCCTTGTTTGGTTTTGGGGGGGAAAACCACTGTTCTGGCCTTGTTCCTGTGCCAGGGGGACCTTCGCCATTCCAGATTCCGGGGGACTAGCTGCATGGTAGTGACAGGGAATGCCATCCACCAGGGTCTGTCTTGGCAGCTGTCCTGGACTCTCCCTGGAGCCGCATGCCTGGGGCTGTGGGGCAGAGGTGGCATGAATCCACTAAGGCAGACTAGAAGGTTCAGGGGAGCGCTGTCCTCATGGGCCCTACCCCATTGCCAGGTGACTGCCTGCCAGCAAAGCCCTCACTTGGAGGAAAAGCAGCAAGAAAGGGCAACTTGGCAGATTTACCCCATTTTAATCCTTGAAAGGCATGTGAGAAGCCAGTGGCAGATCACTACACAGTGACAGTTGGTCCTGACAGTGGTGAGCAGGCCTGGGTGCAGGCAGGTCCCTGGCTGCAGGAGGGTGGGACAGTGTCTGTGATGGGCCAGCAGCTCACCCTCACCTCTGAGGCGTATGGGCACGCCCTCAACTTATGGCAACCCCACAGTTATCAGATATAGCAACAGGAATGCCAACAGGGGACAGAGGGAGCCAGGCAGCTGTCAGCTGAGGCCTCAGCTCTGCACAGGCTGGTGTGTGACTTAGGGAAGGTGGGTGGGGTGATGCTTCAGGTGCCACTCAAAACTAGGGCGGGGCTGGACAGGAAAAGGGAGTAGACCAGGCAGGGACCCCGTGCAGACCCAGAGCTAGACTGAACTCATCTCAGGAAAGGGCAGCTGCCGGGCCTGCAGAGCACCCCACGGCAGCTTCTGGGTGGGCGCTGAGCACAATCTGGGTCATCTGTCCCCCTGGGGAAACCCACTGGCCCCATCAAACCTTAGGGGAGCTGTTCATTGCCTGGTTGATGGCAGAGAAGGCTCCCCAGTAATTGGGCTACCTGGGAGAGCCACCAGACCCGTCACAGTTGCCTCAAAGGGGTGTGGTGTTTGGCAAGTTTCAGGACCATGCCGACCACACAGGCTGCCTGAATTAGTATAACATATTTGACTTTCCAGACTGAGGGAGAGTCTAGTGGGCCATCGAAAACTGGGTAAGTTCAAAGTGAGTGAAAAGCAAACATTTCTTTAGATAAGCTACGTGGAACAGAACCCACAGCACAAGATGTTCTCATCTGCGTGGGCCAAGAGGGATGAGAACAGACCCCTGAAGACTGACCAGGGTGGCGGCCTGGGGGACACGGTCTGTAGCCTCCCCACCTTGCTCCCGGATCTGTGGACACCACTCTGCCACCTCTTCATGTGGACTAGTTGGCTCGGAGCAGCAGAGCGCCCCTAACTCTAGGTGGGCCTTAGTGTGAGGAGAACAGGAGAACCCGGCCTTCGAGGCTTGGTTCGTGTCTCAGCTCTCTCCAAAGAGTACTCTTAGCTCCTTCAGCTTTATTACGGATCAGACTGTGCTGCAGTAAGGAAGGCCTACGTGGTTTTTAACTGAGATAATTCTGTTGTCTGCTGGGGAAGGGATGGAGGCAAACATCTCCCCTGTCTCTTTCTGCAGGGGCATGGGTGACAGAGCAGAGATGGGCTACCTTGTGGGCAGGGCCACTGCACTGGCAAGCTAGGATGGCAGAACACTTCAGGAAGTGGGTGTTGCTGCCCTCTTACCTTTGGCCCAGCCACCACTAGCTGCTGGCCACTCTTCAAGGGGCAGTGGCCCCTCCCAGGGAGGACTGGGAAGACCAGTGTATCCTTTTAAGAGCCAAGCTTGCCATCCCTACCTGGAAGGCATGGGCAGGGCCACTGGCTTTGGGGTGAAGGGGAGTCTAGCCAGCCCCCACCCCACACGGCTGCTCAGCGGGGCTCCCAGGAGGGCCAGGACTCAGGTGTCAGAAGCGATGCCGTGGCTGGGGGCCAAAGTGCATGGGCAAGTTGTGCTCCAGGGGCAGGTGCATGGGGGCAAACTCATAGTTGACGCGCACGTTGGGCAGAGGCGGCACGTAGGGCGCTGGGATGGGGCCCATGTTGAGGGGGAAGTTGTTGAATACAGGCCGGACCGGCGGGAGGGGGAAGGGCGGGTGCACAAAGGCGTAGGGGGCGATGTGTGGCTGGCGCAGGTTCTGCGGGACCGGCCGCGGCAGGGCTTCCACCCTCTGCACTTTCTCTGGAGGCTTCTCCAAGGGGGGCCCGATGCGTTTGAAGGTGTTCTCTGAAAGGGAGACGGGATTTAGTAGAGAAAAGTTAAAGCCAACTGTGCCTCGCTAGGTCTAGTTCGGGACCTGGGATGTACATCCTGACCCTGGTCCCACCCGTCCGGAGCATGGGACAAAGCCAGGAACCTGTGACCTTCAGCCTCATTCTTACCTGGGCACACAGCAGGGCCAGTCAGGCCACAATGAGGCCGATTAAAGCACAAAACACAGCACATAAACAGACACACACCCCAGCCATCATCAAGGACAAAATTTTACTTCCAACCAAGCATTACCCTCCAGCGGTCACCTTGGAAAGCGGTGGTTGGATCCAGCTCAGAACAGGCGGAGCTTCTGTGAGACTTTCCTTAAGAGCCAGAGCCTGGATGGCCGCTCACAGAAACACTTCTTTCCTTGGCAACCTCAGAGGGGTCAGGGTGGGCCTACTGTCTTTTTAGTCTGGTTTGGCTTTGATTTGCTTCCTAAGATCAAACCCACCCCTTGGGGCTTCCTCATCATCAAGGAGATGCTGAAGCTGGATTGGATCTTAGCTTTCGCGGCCTTTCCCACAGGAAGCAGGACGTGCAGCTGGAATGTAGCTACAGCCACCTGAGGGGCAGCACTTCCTGGGTGGTCCCTGGCTGGGTGGAGGGCCAGGACCCCCCGGGGGCCAGCAGCAGAGAGCGCAGTGGGTGTAGGGGCTGTGATGGGGGAGAACTTGCCTCCGTTCTTTCTTTTCTGTTCCTCTTCGGCCTCCTTCTGGATTTCCTCAATTAGCTTCTCATCATCTTCCTAGAAAAAAGGCAACAAGATAAGCTGGCTCTCAACCAAGCTGCATGCAGTGCTGAGGCCCTGCTGGGACACCAGGAGGCCGGTGTGTGCTGGTCAGCAATGGGGTTGAGCCAGGAACCTGCTGATGACCACGCCACACATTTCCAGTTCCCTGAGAATCTTCTTCCTTCGTCACGGGACGGGGTTCACAGGAGGAAGTCTATCTGAAAGGCTGGGACCAGGTAAAATATAAGGAGAACTGACTCTGGGCGGTGAGCACACAATGTGATATACAGATGATGTATTGCAGAATTTACACTTGAAACATATGTAATTTTACTAACCATTAAATTTTAATGAAATAAATTAAATAATCTTAGGGAAATAGTCTTAGGGATGTAAAGTATAGCATGAGGAATATAGTCAATATTATTATATTATAACTATGTATGGTGTCAGATGGGTATTAGATTTATTGGAGTGATCCCTTGTAAGTTATATACATGTCTAATCACTACGTTGCACTCCTGAAACTAATATAATATTTTATGTCAATTGTAATTAAAAAATATATATATATATATTAAAAAAAGCAAAAAGAAAAAAGGCTGGGACCAAAACGTGGGGTCTGTGCATGACAGGGGTCCTTCTGGGGGCTGGGCCGAGAGCCTGAATTGCTTGCTCAGAGCTCAGAGGGGCAGACCAAGAACCCAAGGGTTTGGGAAGCAGTAAGTCTGGGGTGGGCAGGGCCCAAAGGTCAGAGCCCAACAGTCTTGCCGACTCCCTGGATTGGGCTGGACAGTGTCCACTCAGGCCTGTCAAGTCCTGAGGCCAGCCTGGCTCAGGTCTCAGGTACAGGAGGAAGGACACAGCAATGTAAGACTGCCTCCACCCCGGCCCCCACCCCAGACCTTGCCGCCTCCCCTTCCCAAACTCAACACCTGGTGGGCCCGCTATGCTAACTGGCACTTCAAACTTGGATTATCCCAGCTTGGGAAAGGAGCCAAAGAGGCACTCTGGGGCTGTGCCGCGCAAGCAGGGCACCAGGTCCGTGCAGTTGCCATATCTCCCCCTGCCCGGGGCACCGTGGTGGGATAGCCCCTCCCACTGTGCCTGCCTCCTATAACATGCTGGGATCACCGACTGCTCAGCGGCCCAGCAAAGAGGCTTTCCAATTATCTGGAGACTGAAAGGTCACACACTGGATTGAAAACCGCATGTCTCTGCTGTCCCAGCGTGGCCCAGGAGGCCGTGGGAATACCCTCTAGCCAGCAAGGAGAGGCTCAGTGAGGAACAGAGTGGGGACACTGTGGCCCAAACCTGAACTCATTAGCTGCACTGATTCAAAATGAGTGACAGGCAGGCCTGGTCTGTTTCTTGGGGTCTTCCAGCTGCTTCTCCGAGTTAAGAGCAGTTAAGCTGGAAGAAGTATGGGGAAGGGCAGTGGTGCCCAACATGGAGGCAGGAGAGCACAAGCAAGTCCTAGTATTTCAGGAAGCCTGCTGGAAACACGAGCTTCCCCAGACCAGGCACAAGAGCCTACCACACAGCTAGGTGTGTTCTGGGCTGGAAAAGGGTCAGTGATAGCTGGATTTTTCGTGCTGATCTGAGGCTCTGACTGGCTGAAGACACCCATAATACTTCTGAGATATGAATGGAGGGCCATAGAGGGGAGCACGTGATCTGGAAAGAACCTCTGGATATCCTTGAACCAGAGGAGAGAGAGCGTGGCAGTCCCATAATGGGATCGAGCAATGGACAGTCTGCATGTTTACTTATTAGCATATTAATGTCACAGCCAAGACAGCAATTAGTGATTTTATCACACAGTTATAAACCCTCAGTGATTGTGGAGTCAGGAACTTCACTCAATCAATGTGTGTCAAATACCTACTCGGTGCTAGACAGACACTGTTCTAAGTGTACTGGGTAACCGACAGAATGAGTAAATAGCTGAGTAAACAGCTAAGTACATACTCCCTTTGTTTGGTGGATAAGAAGTTTTAGGACTAAGTCCCCGGAGGCTGTGGGCTCCGTGGACAAAGGCAGGAGGCCCCACTCACTTCGCATGCTTGCGGTATCAAGGCTTCAGAGGCCGAATGACAGTGGGGACTCAATGGTCTCAAAGATTCTTTCCAACTCTGACAACTGGAAATTCTGATCATATACCCAGGTCTTTTTCAGCCTCACCTGGCCAGGTGTTCTGAGCAAGGCAAGGGGAGGAGAGGCAACAAAGGTTAAGATCCCATCATGCATTTCCAAAGCTGCCAAGCGCTTGGGCACATCAGAGAATCACATGACCAAGAGGAACCCTGGTGGGTGTCATGCTTGACCCCCAGGTCATGCATAAATATGCTCTACAAAATCCAAGACGTGCTCATCCAGCCTCTCTGCGAACACTGCCCACGAGGGGACGTACTGCCCACAAAGCACTCATAAGCCCATCAGCACAAAGGTCTCTAGTAACTCATAGCGTTTGGTGGACAGTCTGAAGGTCTCCATGTGAATGTCAAGATAAATTGTACCAATTACCTAGATTAGGAGCTGGCAAACCTCTTTATTTTGGTGTCAGTGGCAGGCCTAGGCAAAAAGATAAACACAAAACAGAACAAAAAGGATCGTGATCAAGAAAGATAATGTGAAGTGGGTGCGCAGTGGCTCCACACCTCTCAGCAAGTGGCCAGGCCCAGGTTCCTGCACATCTGGGTCTCAGTGCCTCACCTGTGAAATGCGCTGCTCTAAGGACTGAATGAGCTCAGTCATATAAAGGCCTCAGCACAAACTAAGCATTCATTATAAAAGGTGAGAAACTCTGAAAAATGGCAGAGAGAGAATTTAGAAAGATGGGAAGTTTCAAGAAAAAGTGGTACAGATTGGGAGATGCCTCTAACATTTCTCTCAGTGGCTTCTTTATGGCACAAGGGACAGGTTTCCTGACTCTGGTCACTTGTGAATTGAAACTATCAGTACTACATCACCTTCACTATCACCACTGCCTCGTCCCTATGTCTACCTCATGACCTAAATGGGGTTATGTCCATCAGTCCCCAGAGGGACACTCAAGTCCTCTGATGGCACAGATGGTACCTTAGAAATCATGCATTCCAACTTCCTTATAGCACAGACACTGAGGTCTCAGAGAAATAAGTTGTTCAAAGTTATGGCTGGCTGATGGTGCACTAGGCTAACGCTTTAGACCATTCTATAGTGTCACTCAAATAGTTTTCTTGGAGAAAACCCACAGAGAAGTCCCTGGAAGGTTCCCTGTGCCCATCGTTGACTGGAAAATTTGGAGGGTGCATGTATCCTTTCATTCAAGAGTAAGTACTGAGTGTCCAGTGGGCATCAGGCTGTGCTGGAGGAACAGCCGAGAATAAGGCAGACCCAGTCCCCCTCCTGGAGCTTCTCTTGTGCTGTGACCACAGCATTAGCAGCTAACCACTAACCTGCCCATCTCGTCAGACTCTCAATATTTCTGTTGGGATAAAAGAAGAATAAGGGGTAAGAGAGGTTCCCCTTTGACTAGAAGGTTCCAGGTCCCCTATAGCACTGCTGAGAAGGTGAGTATGCAGGGCACCTGCCTGATTGTTATCAGTGCTGAGTTTCCTGTGATAAATCCAAATGCTCCTGGTAGAAGTTCACTGCTGAATAAACGCAATGTAAGAATTCCCTTAGGTGGGTCTGAGGCCCTTGCTGATGCGACTGTGAGCTGAGCTTCCCGATACAGACCTGCTAGCTTCTTCTGGAGGGCAGGGCGGCCAGGTGCACCCACTGGCAACGCTGCGCTGCCACTGAGACTTCCTAGAGGAGGAAGGAGCCTGCGAGCCCGAGCTCTTCACCTTTTGAAGAGAGCCACCTGGAACCTCTTCCCTTCCTTCCTTAGCTCTGATCACACCTGATCTGGTGAGTGGACTCAAGACCATCTGTCCTTAAGCTCTGTCCTTCCCCGGGTAGGCAGCGCCCTTAGGGTCTAAATTCAGTCTATTTCACCAGAAAATGTCAGCGCTCAACTATTTTGAGCAGTGATTGTTACCATAAATAATGAGTAAATTGTCAGTTACACCCAGAATATGGATTAGGAGTTTCAGATTTCAACTTTATCCAACTGGTTGGAGTCACAGGATGTTGTGTTTAGAAACTAAGAACTAAAACACTTAAATTTTTTTTTTAAAGAAAAAATTAAATTTTCAGCCAAATATGTGACTCTAAGGGGAAGGTTTCTCACTCCATCTGGGTGGAAGTTCCTTCCACAAGCAGTTCCCCTTAAGCATTTTAAATTCTTAACAGTGAAGGCAGACTGAATTGTACACTTTAAAAATGGCAAGTTTTGCTTTATATATGACCATAATTAAAAAAAATTAATGTTAAATGAAGAGCGAAGGCAGGTGTAGGGGTTATTTTGAGATAAAACATGAAGACTGGTCCCTCATCAGAATACTTCTTGGGTTTGGGGCTGAGTGACAGATGAGGCTGCTGAGGGCCTCCTGGAGGTGAGTTCCCTCAGGAAACATTCTAGGCATCCCGATTGTTATCGTTCTCGGTGAATAAGGACACTTATGAAAAAGGCCTGCTATTCTGCAAATCTAGGACACACCTAGGCTGCTGGAAATGGGGAACAATAGGAGGAAAGATGATGATGCAAGGGCCAGGTGCACAGGCAGGATCACAGAATTAACTGTCTTCCAGCCCCCTGCAGGGGCTGAGTCACTCACAGGAAATCCAGGCGGCAGGGGCGGACCACAGTGCATTTTATCTTAGAGCAGTGCTGGCTTCCTAACAGACAGGCAGCTGCCGTGATGGGAAGAACTCCACTTCTGGGGCTCCACTGTGCTGGGCTTGGGGACACCCTCCCCCCAATACCTAACCTGGAGCCTGTTCATTTCCACAGCAGTTTACTGTGAGAAGCAAATGATTTCTCTTTTATGAGGTGCCATGCACTGTGATAGTAATAATGGCAGTTAGCATTTAAAGAGCTTATTATGTACCAGCTCTTATTCTAAGCACCTCACATAGATGTAGTC